ACTCTGCTTGTGTTCTCTGTTCTAGTATCTCTCAGAGACATTAAACTGGAAGCCAGAGAGGATTTGAGACACCATGAAGTATTTAGGGCAAGTAGCTGTCAGGTTTTTATTTCTCAGGTGACAACGTGAAGCGGAAGGTTCACTGTAAATTAACCTGGGTGATGACAGAGCAGATGGAATTGCAGAGTTTGACTGGGAAGCGTGGGGGATGAGTGTGTTCTTTCAGGAGGTTAGTGGTTGAATGGGACGCTGTTAGGTTCGTTTGTTGAACAACAGTTGAGCTGTTAACTTGGACCATTTATGATGTTTCTAAACTTTATGTTCTAGAAAAGAGGGTTTTGCCATTTGGTTAGTTTTGATCTTGTTCCATTATGTTCATGGTTATGTTATGATTGGTCAGAAATGCTCTGAAAGCTTCTGATATTGACTTATGATACTTGATACAAGGCTCCCAAAAGGGTTTGTAGTGCTAAACTGAAAAGAAATTTACAAAGCACGCTAGCAGTTTGCTCACTTTTACCTTTTGGGGGAATGTAAAGGAAGGATTAGGAATTGGTTGCCAGCTTTTTGGGGAATTTTGGTACTTCAGGTTTTTTAAATTTTTCGTAACAGGACAAACATCAGGAGCAAAACTTCTGCTGAATAATATTTCTGAGAAATAATCTTGGATCAATGCTTCTTCACATCATTCTATTTAATGCAATGAAAATTTCCAAGCAATTTTACAAGCAAAATTGAAGCATTGTACTTCATAGTTCGAAACAGCTTGCATTATCAACGTGCTGTCTGTTACAAGTTGCGTGTTTTTTGAACATGTCCAATGCAGTGTGGTGTGTCCTGTCCCAGAAGTGTGCAGGATAGCTGTTAGGGTCTAATGATCCTCGAAGGAGTACTATACTATTGATCTACTGTTATCTTTATATGGGCTTTTACTGGAGAGGACAGTGGTAAGTAATCTTCTCTCCAGAGTTCCTTGTCTTGCATAGAAATGAGATTAAAGTGTCAGAAGGCAACAAATGAAGAAACCAAAGAAACGCTAAAAGACATTGGTGAATATACGGTCTCTGTGCAGAGCCCTTCTGAGATATTCCAGCATCTGAGAATCCTTCCCTTTTCTTTTTTGAGATGTTTTGTTTCTGTTACCAGCCAGTTTACATCCATAAATTTGCTGTGTTTATTTTCCCTTACAACTAATAAGATGAGGAAAATTCCTGAATGTACAGTTCAATCTGTTCGCATGTTATGCCCTAAAAGTCATATTAAAGAAGTTAATATCATGCCTTAATAGATTTTATAGCTGGAAGTATACAATTAATTATAAATTATTATAATTCATTTTAAAAGGCAGTGTCTTTTTACAGTGGCAGGATTGAGTAAAAGAATGTTGTGGATGGTGATAAAATTTAAGAAAATCTTTACCTTTTCTTCCAGGAAATAAAATAAAATTGTGTATATTCTTGTCCGTTTTATTCTAGGACTGAATGTTTTTATGCTTATCAGAGGATCCTGCCAAGTTGTATTATTGATTCCAACACACTTTGTTGTTTTTGATTTCGTATGGCTGTTATTGTAAAAGCACACCACCACAATTTTTAGCTAAGTCAATGTACAAATACACCCGAGTCTTTTGTTAAACCATTTTTCTGTATATTTGCAGTGAAAATGCTCAGAATATGTCTTGTCCTGTGACCGTGGTACATGGTAGACGTTTTCACCATGCGCACGCACAGACAGCAGTAGTAAAAACCGCAGCCCAAAGGTAAGACTAAGTACGTTTGTTTCTATGGATGTTCCAGTTGTAAAAAGTCCTTTCTGGTTTAGTATGTAATTATTTTCCTTATGTTATGAAGTGTTTTGAGGAAATATAAATTTCATGATGTACCCTTGATCATAAGCTTTGATCTTAAGTAATTAAGTTTCATAAAACTTACTCTTTAAGACTTACTATTATATGATCTTAGAATTTACTAATTTTAAAGCACACTATGGCACACATTCAGTAAGAGAGCACCAGCTAACGTAAATACGTTTAGAAAATACTTTGAAATGGACAAACATAGTATGCAGTAGAAATTCATGTAACTGACAACATGATCATCAAATACTAATTCACAGAAACTCCAGCTTGTTTAAGTTCCATCTAAAAATTCAGTTATAGATCTGGTTATCATATGTAGTCTGTACATACAGCATAAAACTGGGACATCGCACAGAAGCAAGGTTTTGCATTTATAGAAATAGTTGTTAGAAGGGATGGCTGGAAAGTGGGGACTCTTACTCGGCTATGCTGAATTAAATTTCATTGTTTAGAAAACTTAAAACTACATCAGACTCCCATATATTGCAGGGTTGTTTTTTAATCTTTTTTTTTTACAGGCTTTTTGTACCCAACGTGTGTCAGAAACATATGAGCTAACTTACTTTAAGGAATTTTCTTTGATAGTTTGTCCATTCAGAGCTCTTCTGTGAATTTCATGGATTTCTGCCAGCCCACATGAGTGCTTCATCCTGTCGGCATTTTGTAGCCTGCTTCTTCTGCCCCCTTCTTGCCTTTCTCTTTGTGGCGTAGATTTTATTGGGGTGGTGGGATCATATGTAGGTATCATCCTCTTTTTCAACCCACTGCCCTCACTTCGATTTGCCATCTTCAGAAAAACAAAGCCCCCATGCTCATGTGAATGGATGGTATGATCCAAACACGTATTGGGGTTATCTGGCCTAGAAGAAACAGGCTGAAAAATGGCTTCTGCAGTCCTGTCCCTGAGGACCTACACCACTGTTGCCTTCTTCCATTTCAAACGGTGCTATGATCTGTAAATGGAAAATAGCACGGACGTTTCCTTCCCCTTAGTAATAGGGATCTCCCTTTTCTTTACATTTCTTCCCATCATTGCAAGGCAGGGATGAGTAAGGAGGATTGGCAGAGCTTTCCCCCCTAATGAAACTGGAAGATAGGATTTACGTTATTAGTGTGGTTTAGGCTGAACCAGCTGTGCTCTTTTCTTCCTACATGCACAATATTTTAGTTCAGTGTTCCACAGAGGAAAGCGTGGGCTGTCTCTCAGCATTCATGCCCTTACCTTTCTCTTTTTCTTTTTTTCTTTTTTAATTCTAAGGGATAAAATTTTGATCTGCAGTGCTAATTAAATGATTTGAAGTAAGCTAAATGATGTGAGACTTCTCTTCTTGGATCTCTGAATATTGACTGTAATAACATTAGTGTACTTGTTTGAGCTTTGTTGGGAGATGGTTCTTTGAAACAACCACTCAACGTGGGTTCGTCTCATCTCGTGGAGTGCCACAGGCTGCTGCAGTGTGCAAGAGAGTCCGCTGCAGAGATCCTTACTCTTGAGGGGATGCTAGATTTGCCTGCTTGCCTTTCTCACCTGCGGGACTTGCTTCTTGATAAGCCTACAACGTAATGTGGGGAAAAAAAAAAAAGTAGCAGCTTCGTATGTGTGACACACAGAAAGAAAACTTAATACATCATATAGGCAAGCTGAATGCTGCATGAAGTGATTGGATAGCAGTCATCCTGAATGCTTCTAAATATGTTTGCTTTTATGGTTGTTACTGTAGTTCATTACATTAACAACAGGCAATTAACTCTTATGCTAAGAGTATTTCAGGAGTTTCAAAGGCAGGAAATAGTCATAACTATCCCAAGCAATGTTTTACTACTGGAGGATGTCAGAACCAGCATGATCTAATAGACTGAGCTTTACAGAGGAACTGGGCAAAGGGTATTTAATTCCAGTATCCTTTGCCAGTTGACTCGATTACTTTTTAAAAGCTTCTGTTTCTGAATTAGAGGATTGGAAATTAATGGAACATGGCCTCCTGTCATACTTTTTTCTAAATTAAAAAAGAAGCGGGATCTCAAGGCTGCTTCATATGGAAGATGTTGTCTTATTCATCAACCTACAATAGCTGTTAGAAAAAAAACTCCACACTGAAATGGGGCTGTTGAAACCTGTTCATAATACAAAATTCCAGTGCATAAAAAGTGGATAAGGGTTTTTTTTTGTCATGTATTTTTAGTTGTTTGGGAATATTTTTCTATCTTTTTTTGCTAGATTTTACTGACATTAGACAATAGTTGAGTTTAAAAGTAAATTCTGATGGTGTCCCCTCAGAATATAGGCAGAAAATGTGGGTGGCAAACCAGGAATAAAATTCTGGGTATGTTATCAAGACAAAGAAAAGCCGGTGGCATGGAAGTTGAGTTCGAAGGTGTTGGGGTGTTTTTCCTATACTAAGTTACAAGGGACACACAGTTGTGTTCTTTTACATTATTTGCATTTGTAGAATTGTTTTATGGTATAGTGATCAGTAACAACATGGGGAAGATAGTTTACCTAACATTGTTCTTAAATCGATAGTGGATTCCTGAAAGGATAACTGAAAATTAAGAACATGTTGAGATGAGTTCTGAGCAGCCTGAAACTCTGGCACTGACATTACAGATGCTGTTATTTGTACGGGGTTCTTTGGGTGAGGGTGGTGTTACATGTGGCAAGCTAATTATGAAATTTGGTTGCAATCTCTATCAAGTTGAATTTGGAGCTTCTGATGTGTACTGTATTTCTCATATCTTTCTCCTTTTTTTTGCATATGCATGTTAATTTAAATTCTGGCTGAATATCTCTTGCACTCATGTTTAAAATACAACTTTCCAGTACAACAAAATTGAGCATTTCAAAATAATATTTTGATAAATATTAAAATGTTTTTTCCAGTGGAATCTGGGGATGAAATTAAAATTTGTTCACTTCTGATACAACAGATTTTCCAATACAGCTTAGCCTAGTGTTGTCGTTGGTTCAAACTATTTTGCTTCATTTAGTGGACGCGTAGTTCTGTTTTATGCTGTTGACCTAAGACTCAACATTGGCATAGCGTGTATGTACAGCATGTCCTAACAAATCTTATGCATGAGCTTCATGGAGCAATTTGTAGGGACACTGCTCGTTAGAATTCCTGGATCTGTCCAGGACTCTCATTTTTTAATCTTTCTAAATGCATTATATTAATATGGGATTTTAAAAAAAGCAAGTGAGGCATCTAAAGTAATGACAATGTACAGTATCAGGCATTCTGGGGTTTTTTTTTTTCTATTTTTTAAGTTTACTTAGCGTTAAAATTTACAGTTCTGAACAGTGTGACTCTTCACAGCACCTGTAAACAGTTAATGGAAGTCAGGTATTAACTGTGCCAAGGATACAGAGATACTGGATATGGCTCTGTACAGCCCTGCTTTGGATCTGTCTGGATTTAGAAACTCGGATGTGACCCCCACAAAAGCAGTGTTTATTGTTTGTAGAGGCTAGCTCCAGGCAGAAGCAATTTTTTCCCACTTCCATGCAGCATTGGCTTATTACCTCCAGACCAGGCTAAGGTGCAGTGTCACATTTAGTTTTGAATTCCTTTTATGCTTTTCCCAGAACCCAGAGCCCTGGGGAGATGGAATCTGTTTTCATACTGCACGCTGTAGGATTGTCAGGATGATCTCTACCTGGTTTACTTTCAATGCTGCTGTTCTTCTGGGTAACAGAGAGTTAGAGTTGGCTCTGATCTTGTGAGTGTTGTCTTGGTGGAAGGAGAATGAGCTTCTTTTATGCTGTAATATTGAAGAACAGGAAACGGTCTGAGTGTGTTCTGGTTTCGAATTGTGTTAGTGCAGTGCATATATGAGAGAAGTTCTTTGGGTTTTGATATTTGGAGGAACAGCCCCACAGATGAGGAGTTCATGGCATTCTGTATGGCCAGTTTTGAGAAGGCAGAAGAGATAAAGACACTGTTTTCAAGTTGTCTTCATGCTGTGCTGAGTTAGATCTATTTTTATATCAGTCTTGTTCTACAAAGGACCTGAGTTGTGTGCACCAGCTACATTCGCTGATGTTAAAGGGAAACACTTCTGAAACTAGTGGCCCTAATTGTTAAATATTTTTGAAGATTCTTCTTAGCCAAAACCTCAGGAGGAGTTTGGTTTCCTCTGTTCATCCTTCTCTATCCAGTACCTGATGGCATATGGTCTCTTACATATTTAAGTAGTGCTTTCTGAACTTTTTTTCTCAATTTAAACACTTGAATATGTTTTGAATAGCTGGAAACAAGTTGTTATTTTAATTTATCTTCTTTCGTGTGGCTGTCAGGGGTTGGAAATGAGGCTTGATCTTAATTTAAGTATCAGGATTCTGCCGTGCCAGGTTTTGCGTTGTAGTGAATTGAGTTCAGAATTAATCACATTTTACACATGGAAAAAGAGGCAAGACAATGTCGTATTTAGACAACTGACTGTTGCTGTCTGGGAAGTACCATTTGTTTGTGAGTTTATAATTACTGTTACAAAAATGGTGTGAAAAATAATGATGCTTATTTGAAAACTAGTCCAGTGAGTGCAAGAGACAATGAAACCGTTCTAGTCTATATTTAATAACGTTTGAATTTAGTCATGTGCAACATGTGGGGCTTTGCATCTTATCTCTTTTTTTCTTTTTTCATATTTTAAGCAATCTGGACCGAAAGGAAAGGTAAGCTGACTGTTGATGAAATGAGCATGGCAATGAGCATTAAGGAAATGAACGGAATGAGTGCTTTATCAATGCTGCTTAAAGAATATCCAATACAGTCAGTCCTATCTGCTCCTGTGGGAGGGGGGTGGCTGGGTTTGTTCTGGTTTTGTGGTTCACTTACTCCCTTTTACCAAAAAAGGGCCTTTACATTCCTCTCTAAATACTGCCATGTTAATGTGAACATTGCGTACATTCTACTGGAAATTCATCTACTCATCTAGCCAATGTGAAAATGGAGAAATTTTAACTATCTCTGGAATTTCAGAATCTGCTGCTGATTCTTTTCATCGTGCAGCAAACTTTGGGTAGTAAAATGGTGCTGAAGCATATCTTAGTAGGATGTTTAACAGCTTTCACTCTGGCCTCTCAGCTTGGTTTGAATGGCATTAAAGGTTTTTATGACCTTACTGTGTACATTTTGTGCATGAAGTGTATATGTTAAAGCAATTAATAGAAAATGTATAGCAAAACCAGGCACACTGTAAAGCTCATTTATCACCCATTTTGCATCTGTTTTACTGCTGATAATATTTTGTTAGCCATATGAAATACCATACATTTGTTTTCTTTCTGTATAGCTTACATTAATATATTAGTGTAACTGTTTTGTTGATAGTACTGAATTTATTGAGTTTTTGTAAATATCCTGCCTATGTAGGTGTTTTTGGCAGTATGCACCTTGTATCAGGTTGCATTGTTTAAACAGTGTATGTAATGTTTAACCAATAATTATATAAATAACACAGAAATCTAGTGTAGATCTGTTCTTTGTGAAGTCAGGATTTTCTACATTTATTTCAGATTCAGTAGGAAAATCAAGCCTTTCTGTTTTACTGCCTTTTATTATTTCTTAAAAGAAGTACTGAAGAGAGACTCACCAGTTAGTTCTGGCCCTCTAGGAAGGAATTTGACCATCTCCTCACTGCCTGGGTTTTGAGTTAATGTATTTTTTCCCTTTTCTTTGTGCTGCATTGATGCTATTAGTTAACCATTAGCCATTAATGTTTTTAATTTGGTGCTGTATGCCATAGGAAGACTAGAGTTGAGCTGCATGCTGCTGATCTTAATTTTCCCTTTGGGACACCTGCTGCTTCATAATCCAGTACTACTGGATAGGTTCTTTTTTCCTTCCCTGCTCTTTGTTGCTGACCTAGCAGGGGTAGACGATATAGGCAGGAGCTGCTAAATTTAGTTTTAATGATTACCATCATGATAAGTGCAGCTGCAACTCCTGACTCTGCACTTTCTGGGCCAAATGGGGCTTGTGTACTAAAAACCCAGTTCCCGGTGCTGCTGCTGCTTCTCTCGTTCAGTCTTTGACTTTTGTACTCTCTGCTTTTCCTGTAAAATACAGTGAAAGTCAATCTCACTTCAGCAAGCTTGATGCTTCCTATGTTGTCATGCTTTCCTCTGTTTTTTGTCTAATGATGTAGAGAGAGACCAGCAGCCTGTCTGCAGTAGGATACCTCCAAGTAGCAGCATACAGAGCAGCTGGCGCAGCCTTGCACATACATGGTATTTTTGATGTGGCTCATGCCAGATTGTTGGTAGTTTTGAAAGCGCTGATGTAAGACAGTACTGTATCCTAAATTCACAGATGTTTCTTTAGGTTTATTCCATTCTGGCACAGATAGAAATTGTGGTGTTCTGCCTCTCTCTTCCCCCCATTTTTTTTTTTTTTTCCCTAGTGAGGAAATTTTAAGATGAAAATTTCACTTTGGCTGGAGGGTGCCACAGAGGTCTGTCTGCCAGCTCAAGGGGAAGATAGTAAGGTCCAGTTCCATCAGCAGAGGAATATGACAGTAATCTTGAATGTGTGCTGAAAATCCTCAGTCACTGACACCGTTCTGTCTGGGCAAAACATGTTTAGCCAAGAATGCTGTACCAGTTAGCTGTTAAGATGTGTCAGAATTGCAGGACTCTCCACAGTCCAGACTACTTCAGTATTTCTGTTGTATTTGTTGGAGGAAGAGCCTGAGCTTTCATGGTCTTGTAGTTATTGTTTTGCTGTTTGATGCTTTACTACTTCTGGAGGTTGCTTTTGTCAAATCCTGGTCTACCTCCCTTGTACTTAGAGGTATTTAAATCATAGCTCGTTAAAACGGATGAGATAAATGAGATGCCTAAAATGATTTAATCTCTGAGCATGGAGCCTTGTTCTTCAAGCACAGTATAAGTTTCGTAAGAAATATTTTTGGGAATACTAACAGGTAAAAATAAATTTGTGTATTTTAAATATTTTCTAGGATGGCAGGAACAGCAATTAATATTGTATTTCTTGTTTTTTTTTCTGTTAGACACAGTATGTAACTAGTCTTGCATCTTGATCTTTTGAGCTGTTTGTTCTCTCATTCCTTTTGAAATGGGAGGCTACTAGTTTAAGTTAGGATTGAACAGGAGGAAAGCATTTGTTTTGAAGTGCTTTATTTTTTTAATCTCTTATAAGAATTTTTTTATTTTCCAAATAGTCCTTTTAAAGATAGGTGTCATGTTCGATTTAAACTTTGTGGAGCCAGCTCTGCCTTTTTGTTTGTGTGGGAGTGGTTCAGGATAGGCACTTCAGGTTGCTGCTCTCTTGTGGGTGGGTTGTCACTGTCTCCAAGAAAGCATTTTTGAATGAAATCTACAATTAAGTAGTGCTTAAAGCTGTCTTTGCTTTGGTTTCTAACTCAAAGCAACTTCAAAGCTGACCATGATTTGCTAACCAAGTAAAACTGCCTTGGGAAGCCTCAGTTGGCTTGAAGCTGGTTTTCATAACCTAGGTTTGGGTGTTACTGGTTCATTGTGAGCATACAAGTAAAAGTTTTGTATCATGGGAGAAGAAGGGTACTCATTTTCTGCTGACCCTTGCGTCTCCTTGCAAGCGGTTGGCCATTTACTAAGTATCAAGCCCATGCTGATAGACAAAATTCAGGCAACAGCAAATAATGCTACTATATTCCAAGTTATTGACAAAAAATTACTTGGCAATATAAGGTTAATTATGAATTTATTATCTTAAAAAGACAAATATATGTTGCATGTTAAAAACGTAATACAAACCTGTACAATTTTTAGAAGTAAAATCATGGCTTACAAATGTCCAGAGACCTTGAATTGTCAAACTGATTTTTAAAAGAAAATTTAGTATTCTGAATCTAACATATTGTTTTCATTGCTTTCAATTCACTGTCAAATACTTTTCAGTATTGTGTTTCTAAAATGTCAGTTAAATGTTTTATATTTAAAACATTTAACAGAAAATAATTTTTCTAACAGTGGTTATGTTCAAAACAAGACTTATTGCTATGAAATACTACTGGAAGATAGTTATAGCATGTGACAGACAACAACTCACACATCCTTACTGCAAAGTTTGTTTTTCAGATCTCCTATAGTGATGTTACAGAGGTTTGTCTACCCCTTAGAATGTCATTAACATATAAGCTGATACTAACAGCCTCACGTTACGTAATGAGTTTGAGCTCTGCCTAGTATTTCTACAAATTCTGTCTTCAAGTAATTCCTTGTGATTTGAATTTATGAACAAATATTCATGTTGAATTTCTGATTTTAGTTCAGTTTTTGTGTGTGCAGGCAATTAAAAAAAAACAACTTTTGGGGAGCAGAACTGTTTCAGAAACACATTTGACATGATCGGTAACAAGTATTAACTACTTAACCTGTCATCTGTGATGTGCTGGTGGGCACTTGGTGCAGTACTGTGCTATCTCTCCATTCTGTGTTACAGTCCAGCCAGGCTTAGCTCTCCATCCTTCTTTCTGCCCAATTTTCCTTCACGATGCAGCCCCTCAGCACGATAAAAGGTGTTTGTGTTTAGTAGTGGGCTAGTACATTGAGAGGGCCAGATCTGGTAAGAAGTATCCCAAGGGTATTGTAGATTAGTCTTGTTCCAGAGATGTTATTTGATAATAAAGTATAGGAAACTCTGAGAATTATCACCTAGAAATGCAGGAGATTGAGAGGTTTTATGAGTTGATGCATTAGGAAATGCTGTATGAAGGAAAGAAGAACCTGTGCTGAAGTTTGCTTCAGCCATGGCCAACTCTTTGTCAGGTGGATCCTCAGAATTGAGCTGTTAGTTGGAGGTGTTACTGCCTACATCTGCTTTCCTTGTCACTGTGCTGTTGATTCATGTCCTTGTACTCCGAGGTAGCAGTGTGGGATGTGTGTGACCCATTTGCAGCCCAGTGCAGTGGCTGGACTTTCCAATAAGAAGTTAAAGGGACGTCTTCCACTAGAAGATGTCTAAATTAATTTGTCTATATTATTATCTTTTTAAAACAAATATATAGGAACTAAGTCTTGTTCTTTTTATTTTTTGGCCACAACAGTTCTTGACCTCAGATCTTTTTCCTCTGTTTTGCATCTTCTCTTTCTGTTTTTTAAGTTGTGGAACTTGTGGAATCTACTTTAATAGTAAAATAATGGTGGTTTCTGGTTTTGTATTTTTAAAGTATCTGCCTCATACTTCATTAATTAGGAGGAGGAAGTGCAGGCTTCAGTCTTTGAAGGCTTGGGTCTGAAAGTGAGAGGCTCCTGACCTATTGATTACTGTCAAATGGGATTTAGATCAGAAACACTTCCAAGACCTTTACTGTAGCTGTTTCTAGCATTCTGGTAATATTTTTTAAGAGTACAAATAGCACACAATAGGAGGAGTTTGTAGCTTTCAGATACATTTCAGTTTTATTTTGTTCATGTATAATTGTGGCTAAATTATAATGCTATCTGTCAAAAGAACAACAATATATCTCATTTATTTTCCAGAAAAGAATACCCCCCTCAGCTTCAGAAAGTAGAAGCAGACCAGACTAGGTTACCACGGTCTCAGGGAGTGGGTAAGTTATGTTTAGAGTTTTCATTTCTTTTAGGTGGAACAATTTTTGAATACCTGCTTTGGGCGGGTGTGTTGCCAAGCTGTATAACCTTTAAGAGATCTATTTATAACCTTATGTCATGCTATTCTAGACTTATACACATTTGTGCATGAAGGGATGATTTTCCCCTTTTTGACAGATTTCTGTAACCTGTTCAGTCATGTTATAATTCATTTTAAGTTAGGCTTCAGTTATTTTAAAAACAACTGAAATTGGGAAAATTTAGAATCATAGAACTTTTGGAGCTGGAACAGATCTCTGGAGATCAGCTAGTCTGAGCCCACACCCCTAGCTTGTTCTTGAATTGTTGGAGAGTAACTTCAGTAGTTAGTATCTGCAAGACATAACATGGCAAATAACACTTGGTATGAAGTCTGTTCAGGCACTGAGGTAGTGAGTAGAAGAGCCAGTGTCAGCAGTGCCCTGCAGCTCAGCCAAAATACACTCCTACATTATTGGTTAATGGAGATGCAAGAGAGAAAATGTAATTTTCTTTGAGGTGTGGAAGTGGTGAAATAGGAAAGGAAAATCGCCGTGTTTGGTTGAGCTCTATCAGTACAGGTACAGTCTTTTAACCTGCTGTTCAGCTGCTTACCCATCTGCATTGGCCAGCCCTTCTGCTGTGCCTTGTTAGGTTCACATTAAGTAGAACTTCATCAGTGCTATGCAGAAGTAAGTTAACCTAGAAAATCCCCACTTATTGTTTCTTTTTGGAAAACAAGTCATTATTTAGTTTTGAGATGTCTTCTAAAAGAGGATGTTTATGAGCGTGTCAGTGTGCATACTGAAAAAGTGTTCATATCTGTTAAAAAAAACAGACTGAAAAAGTTCCCATGTGGAGACTGCAGTTAAAGCAGGGAGTCTGAACAGCACTTGAACATTAAACTGGGTTAAGGCACTCTTCTGCAACCTACTGCACTTCTGAAAAGAAGATAGCACTCTGGGCATTGTTAGTTAAGTAGATTATGGATTTCTTTGTTTCTGTACTCTTCCAGTGTTTATCCTAATTACACAGAACATTTCCAGTTACTCTAAATGCATTCACCAGCACTCCTTTAGTGAAAATGGCCATCAGCATAATCTACTAGATCCCCTCCTACTTTCGGTACCGAATGCTCCATTGTAGTTGGAGTGAAGGTAGTATAGATTTTGGAGTCCAAAGCCTCCTCCAAAGATACTGAGCTACAAATTGTCACCAAGAGACACTGAAATAGTATTAATAAACCAACATTTTCAGAGTTACTTTGGGGAATTTTTCTTATTCATGCAACAAATCATGAGACACCTGCAGCAGTGTAGTTTGTTGGATGCTTAAGAAGGTATTTATTTTAGTTCAGGTTAGTGTGTATGAAGACATAAGTTGATCATAATTTTAACATCATATGAGTAGCCATATTATGTTAACATTTTTGCATTTTTTCCCTCCTAGACAGTATAATGGAAAACACGGAAGAGTCAGAATCAGAATCGGAAATTGAAATTAAGAGAAAGGTGCAACAGAAACGTCACTGCAATTCATATCAATCTGACTTGACTCTATCTTCTGCTACAAAAAAATGCTTGTCTCAGTTAAAGGTGGGTTAGATTTTAAAAACATGTGAACTTCTGTTTAACTTTAAATATTGATACAAATTTATAAACAGACATTCAGTTGTACAGTAAGTTTAGACATGTTTAAGTGTAAATATTGATGCTAGCTATGAAATATTTATTTTCTGATTTGAACAAACAGATGCTGCACTGGAAAACAAAAGAATCTGTGTTTAAATTGATTGTCTGCTTGATAAATCAGTAACTGATAGTTTTGGGTTGCCGTCTGTCAAATAGAGGAACTGTATTTCACTCTCTGATAGAATTTTTTTTTTGTGTGTCATGATTTCCTGTACTCATAACAATAAAGATAGAGGTACTCTTACTAAGGTGCTCTCTTTCTCAGTGGACCTAGCACAGGTTTCCTAATGCATTCTCTGGTCTAGATGCAGCCAGCCAGGGTGTTTTGTCTGGAACTTCTGAGTATCGGATGAAATATATTTTGGCAATGCCTATAAGGCGCTCTGTATTTCTTATAATCTTCCCAGGTTACTACAGAAGATTCATAATGCCCACATACAGGTCACACTGTATGACTGTCAAAGCAAAACTTCATATAAGGAGATCTTGGTTAAAAAAAAAAAAAGTAGATCTGTAATTATTATATATAATCAGTTTGTGTTTGCTCCTGTGTGTTAGAAAATGAGTCAGGCTGTATTTCTTTGTTAGGGTGAAACACTTGGTGCTACTCTTAATGCACTTCTATTTAGTTACTTTGACGTTACTTGGAAATCTTAATGGCTACGATTTTCATCTACATATGATATCTGTATAGATATGATCTATAAAAGCTAAGTAATAAAGTAACAGAGCAGTTGAAAACACAAGTCATTACAGTTCTGTGGGTTTTGTTTTAATCATTACATTGATAACTTTTAAAATGTTTGTTTAAGGAAGTAAAATATTCGTTGCTTGTGTCCTATCCAGTAAAAGACAAAAGCAAAAAACAGCCTTCTGGATTGAAATGGTCATTGAAGAAAACAATTTAAAAATAAATGGAATCTTGTTACTACCTTGATCAAACAGTTCTCAGTGGAAAGATCTAAGAAATGTCGTCTCTTAATACACCGTTTCTTCCTTACAAATAAAGTGAATTAGCGTAAGAGGAAGGAGAGCAGGCTGTGGGCTAGATGAACCTTTACTCCTATCCCATAGGACAGTTGTTATTATCCTGTAAGACGAGAGTTTGTGGATATGTCTTCCGGATACAGAACAGATCTTGCTGCAGCTGAATTCACGAGCACAACTGTAGGGGTTTTTTTTTTTTTTCTAATGGGTTAAGAGTTTTATCGTTTATTACAGTAAAGGGATTTAACAGCACGATTTGTGCATTTACTATGAACCATATGCATTTTCATGAGTTGCCAAAGTGTGCAGATGATCGCTGGGAGGTTTGTGGAACCTGTGAACAATTCAGAAGTGTTGGTTGGGGTTTTGTGCCAGAGGAATTACAGACATAACTGGCTGCTTGTCAGGCCAAGCGCAAATGGTTTTCATCTTACTAGACTATAGCAGTTTGCACTTTCTAATTATTAAAAATGTACATAATTTTTAAAGGAAGAAGGATTTTCTGCTTCGTAAGCACTTATAAAAAAATCTGAAAAATAATGTGCTTTGTATCCTGAAACTTTTAAAGCTAGGGCAGAGTATTTGTATAGGACATATGGTATTTGTATTTTGCAGATTTCAAAGCTTATTATGCAAGTTATAAGGCAGACACGTTTAGGTAGCACTCATCTATTTAAGTAGTCATTTATCCTAAAATTGAGTCTAAAACAGAGTATGCCCCTCTTAATTAAACACTGCCGCCCCTATCCTCAAGATGCATGCTCTCAAACCATGGAAAGGAAGTTGGTTTTAAATTTTTGCTGTGTGGTTAAGGTAGAGTGGTGCAGTTATTCTGTACTTAAGCTCCTTCATGTACAATTGGTAGCTTCTATTGAATATTTTAATGTCTGATTGAAATTCTTCTATGTGATTAACAGTATCTCTGTAAAAACTACATCCTGTACCTAAGCACTGGAGCACAACAGTAGTTTTCATGTCACTTGCTATCTTATCCCACCGCTCAGGTTTTAAAGGTCTGATAGATTTTACACACGGGGAGTTTTTTTGCTTCTGTTTCCCTGCATTACGTGTAGCTTTGTTAAATTGCAGAAATTTTGTAAAAATACTGTCTTCCCCTTGTATGACTTTTGCCTTTATATTTGTTTTCACAAATGATTGAGGCTCCCACACCTGAGGAAGTCCTCTTTATTGCATAGGATTGGATTTTGCAATACGTAATTAAGTGGGACCTAGTAGAGATGTGAGAGAAACAAAACACATCTGTCTTCGCAGTGATAGGATATATGTTCCCTTGTAGCTCCTGCTTTCCTCTTGAAAGTTCAGAGAACTCCTTTTCCTCAAGTCCTGTTTTCTCCTCTGAGATACTGGACTCTAGAACAATGTATTTCCTTTTTCTTTTCTCTCCCCCACTCTATCTCTCTCTCTACTTTTTTTCTTTTTTTTTATTTTTCTTTTTTTTCTTTTTTTTTTTCTTGGTATTCTGAAGGGGTGATTTTCCTTCATGCTTTGCCAGGCTTTTAGAAGATATATTGGGAGGACAGATGAACTCCATGACTTGGAGGTGCTTCTAGTCCTCTTTAGCATTGCGCTGTGGATCCTTAGGCTGCTTTATTTTGATCCAGTGAAACCAGTTTTACAGAATTGCTGTAACTGAACCCTCCTGCTGATGGTTGTATGTATCTGAATGGTGTGCAGCCTTTTATGTATGGAAAGAAAAAAGACAAGAAGGAAAACGTAAATTGTCCAACATTAATCGCTTTTTAAAAATTGTCACAAATGACATTTATTCCTCTTAGAATGTTTTTAATTTTCTTAAATGAAAAAATCAAAGTGTATTTTAATGTTTGCTTTCTGTGCTTACTGTAATTGCTAGTGTAGTGTTGTCAGTCTTCGTTCTGAACAGAAATTAAGTGCAGGATTTGGAAATGGTATCTCTGTATTTATACAATTACTGATCTTGTGTGTGTGTGTGTCCCCTCTAGCTTTTGGAACAAATTGATTATTCTACTGATTGCCCAAACTGTGGGAGGGCAAATGAAAATCAGACCAAATGCCGACATTGTGACAGTGCTTCTCTGAAGGATTTGCAAAGAGTCTCCAGACAAACTGTGACATTAAGTGAATCGGTGGGACCTTTATCACGTTCTTCAATACATCAGAATTCAACAGGGCAAAAATCCACAGGTACAGGGTTCAACACAAAGAAGTTTTATAGTTCTGCTGTTGGGAAAAGTCCGACGGATATTCTGCTGAGTAATGAAGTTGTAGGACATTCTGTGTTACGACAGAATGGAAAAGTTGGTCTTATAACTGGGACAAAAAATCCTAAAATTACAGGAAGCTTAAGACAGAGGAGTGCAAGACCATCTGAACTAAATGATCCAAGTAAGTACCTTTTTATGACTATAGCTATAAACTGGAAACAGTAAATATTGTATAATGAACTGTCCTTATAGGTTTACATCACTGATTGATTTTTATGTGGAATTTTTTTTGTGCATATGTTCTTGGGGAGGAGGGACAGACCTTTTTATAATTTAATATATTTTTATAATGCACTTTGTAATTTTAAAAAGGGCATCCTTAGCAGAATTCTGTCATTCATCCTCCCAAAGGAAAAGACAAAGGAAAAGACAGTCTGTGCATCTGAACCCTGTCAACGTTTTCCCATTTATTTAAATTTCATCATTTGTAAAATATTAGTTTTTGTGCTTTCTCTGTGTAAACTCCAATTAATTATTAAGCAGGAAGGAACTGGGATTTGGGAAATGATGTTTCTAGTTCCATGCTCAGTTTACTAGACTGTGTTGCCTTACTGATTTGAACAATTACAGTCATAATTTGTTTTGTCAGTTTTTCTTAAGCTGTATTATTCTCTGTCAGTTCTGGATTGAACCAAGAAATGGATGGCTTCACTTCTGTGTCTAGAGGCAGATTAATGATACCCATTTCTTGTATAGTTATGAGAAATAAAAAGTGAGGGAGAGGGCATCTGTGAGCAGATTCCAAATGAACATTAATAAAAGCATAATGTAATGATAAATGTGGGATTTTTTTTTTTTGGCACTGCAGGACAATTACATAAATTACTTTTAAGCCATTGCTTGAAAAGAAATTTCTGTTACAGGAAAATGTAGTGGTTGAGAATTTACTATTTTCTGTTTAGTTGTTTTGTCTAGTGATGATGATGAGGAGGAGGATAGTGGCAGCACTAGGAGAATGGAAAGCATTTCACCTCGTCCTGCAGATTCAGCCCGCTCCTCCCCAGCTCCTTCTACAGGAAAGGTGGAAGCAGCATTAAAGGAAAACAGTTGTGGAATAGAACAGAGAATAGGTAGTATAACAACAGATACAGAAATTGCAGTCACACTACCAAGAAAAGCAAGAATGAAAGATCAGGTACTATTTAATGCTTTGTTTAAAGAAAACAAAAATCAGTTCATAAATGGAAAATGTAAAGGCTTGTCTTGCATTGTGAGAAGTTGATTATATATTTGATTGCTCTTCTTATTTAGCAGCTCGTCGAGTAGTATCTCAGCTTACATGATACTGGAAACATAAGAAAATGTGTTCATTGTATTTTCACAAGCATTCATAATGACTTGATAATGCTTTTAGCATAGCAGCTTCTGTGCTGAACGTGTACTCTCTGAGAGTGGGCAGGCTGGCTGTGAAACTCCAGGGCTACGTAGCTGGCAGAGGAATGTTAGTACCGGCTGTTACCTGGGCAGACTTTGGATGGGTGAATTTAAAGGTGAAAAGAGACACTGGCAACGACAGTGGCCCTTTGAAATTAAAATACTCTGACAGCTGTCACAATTAATAGCACTTATTTTACGGATTTCATTGTGGGGCTTTTGTTTTTCGGTTGAATACCACTAGATAAGAATTGGATAAACAAAGACAAAAAAATGCACTATGAGCAGACTCCTTAAGTGCTCTCAAAGGGGACAGTTTTCACAGTATGTTAAAACTCAATAGTGAGCCGTCAAGAAGAATAAATTCCCTGTGGCAACTGGGGTTAAATAGTGCTGAGGTAAAACCCTTCTTGTGTCACTTGTCCGGTTTCACTATTATGAGTTAAGTTCAACAGGAGTATCTGATAAGAGTGCAGGTAGAAATCTGAAATCCTTTGTGTTTTCTGAGTTACAGAACGCTAAAGTGATGATAAATAGTTTATTAGAGTTTCAGTTGTTCTGGTGCTATGTGCTAGATTCATTGAAAGCGTTGCATTGTGAAGGCACTGGTGTCTAAGCCTTCTGATACTCTCCCAGATGTTTTCCTTTGGATATCCATGTGGTCCTGTTCACTAGGCTTTCAGAACCAGCTGTAACACTGGAAGTTAACTGTGTATTTTAGACAGGGTAAAACAGCTTGATTTCTGTGAACAAGTGAGCCAGATTTTTTTTTTTTTTGTAAAATGTAACACAGACTTTGCACTGATTCAAGGAAACTACCAAGAATTGAGAGTACCACAGTGTTTTTGGCAGATTCGATAGAACAAGCTTTAAGAAGCTTTGCTCATTTGTTTTTCTCTTAAAATATTCGTTAATTCTTTACTGAAGAGGCCCCTTGAATATAGCACCACTTAGATGTTTACTGTCTTACTGTTTGTGATTTGAGTTTTGAGCTTTTCATAATATTGAGCTAGTACAGCAGACAAAAATAAAAAGCTGTCTTCAAGAGTCCTAGGAAAATATTTTAATGACAGGGGTTTAGAATCTCTGCCTTCTCCACTGTATTTAAATGAAGCATCCAAAAGTGTATGTTGAATTATGGCCAAGATGGGCTGGTGATTAGGGACTGCTTGTCGAGATTTAGTCTGAATAGAAGTATTGAATCCCTTAAAATGCTTTTTTTCTGTGGGAGTTTAATTAGATTTTGTAACCCAAAAGAATGTTTATTAATGGACAGCTTTATGAAACTATATAAATACTAAAGAAAAGACTAGTGTGCAGACAGTCCTTCAGCAAAGTAGAGCAATATAAGCAGTACAACAAATAAATATATTAATGTGATGGCTGTCAACCCGCTTTCATTTTAATAGGTTTTGGTAAGATTGTTCTGTTGGTAAACAGGAGACTTCATTGAGATTGTAGCTTCAGCCAGCATCTATAGACTGTCTTGAACTCCACAGCTTTCTTTCAGCGTTTAGTCTTCTGACCCTGGAATCTGTCCTAAAAGCTGCTTAATAGTTCTGTAGAGTTGCTTTAAGGAATTTTGATTGGGCTTATTTCTTTATTTTTCTGGAAGATTCTACTCCTGCTAGTGTGGTGATTCACTCTACTTCAGTAATAACTTCGTGTTTTCAGTCACCAAAAGCTTGGACTAATAAAAACTGAAAGAAAAAATAAAACCATAAACATTGTGGTGCTTTTACAGCACTAGTGTTTTTATAGAAATAATCAGATAACATGTGTTAAAGATAACCTTGTGTTGCCAGGCTGCACGGTGTTTCAAAATGATGAAACCTAAGTTGGTTTTGGCAATTTTTAGAAGCATTATTTGAGGTTTGGAAATGTTAACAAAATGTCTACAAGGTGTTCCAAAGAGTCCTTTAGGAATTGTCTGCCTTCTGTATATGGCTGAGGTGGATGCTATAGTGAGTAATCCTATTGACCAACAGAAAAGTAGCTGGAAATTGAGTCACTGGTTTGTAACAAGCTTGTTTTGGCAATAAATCTTGGTGAGATTTTCTGAAACCTTGAAAATTACTTTTCAGTTTGGGAACGTTGTGGCTAGCACTCCGGTAAAACGTCGTAAAGTTATTTCTCAAGAGATTGTAACTGAGGCTGTACCTCTAAATTATCAAAATTCCTGTGAAAGTGTCATTCTGAACTGTCGAAGTATACGAATAGGAACGCTACGAAGAATGGTAGTGGAACCTGTGATTGTAAGTAAACCTGTTTTTTGACAAATCTCCTTTAGTTTTTGATGGACATTGTTATTTTCATACAATGTATTGCCTTTGTCTCTGGAACAGTAAGTTTGTCTCTAATTTCTGAGGCTGTTATTCCTAAAGAATCCCCACGTATGATCACATACAGTCTAGTTCTGGTGTTTAATAGAAACGTCATGCCTGCAGAGTCCTTGAACCCTGTTCACTTGGTTGGGGGGGGTTACGGGTTAGCATGCATTTCTTCAGAAAATTGAAGGTCACACTAAGTGAAAAATGGATATTGATAGGTGGGAGGAGGAAACATGCCTGCAGGTGAATAATTTACTTCTATAGAAGAACAAGATTTTTTTGTTAACCTTCTAAGTTACATGGAGCTGTTCAAGGAGACGTTGAACGTAGGTTGTGTGCAGTAAGCCAGATCCAATGTGTACGTCTTTCTGGGGTTAACCATAGACATTGTATAGTAAAGAATATACTTGCTTCCTTGAGGTGTGCTGAAATTTACACTATGTTTTATTTTAAAATTACATTTTACATTTTGATTTTAAAATTTTAGTTACTCAAGTAGTTAATTCAAATATGTTTACTAACAGTTAAAAGGCATTAAGTCAGTTTTGGTGTGGAGGAGTGGTGAAATCTTGTTGTTGTGTTGTCTCCCACAGTTTTGCCTGGATTATATCAAAATACGCCTAGAAAGTCAAGAAGGTGAGTACATCTTTCATTTTATGTTAATACATATAAATACACACATTCGAAGGAGTTAGCAGTTTGTGGTGTGCATGCAACTGTGTCATTAGTTCTTCCCCTTCATCCTAGTTGAAAAGCTGTAGGTATTCTGGGGATGATTGGCAAAGGTGGTTGTGAAAATTATTGACAAAAACAATAGGCAAGAGTAACTTCCTGTAACATGTTACCTCTAACACGATATTAGTTCTTTTATTGTAGATGCAGAAGTAGAGGGTTAAAACCACACAGGTGTCTTAGACCTTTTCTGTCTATATATCCCTTTAAAATCTTTTATTCTCTAGCCTATATGTTGCATATTTCATGTCACTGAAAGAAATACAGTGACATAGTTTAGGAGATGGTGAGCTCGCAACTATTGTTCTAGTTCCTTTGTTTTCCTTTGTAGGGTTTTGCTTTGGGCCTGAAAAGAAGCTTTGCCTCCTTTTGTTAATCTTAAGTTTCCATGAACATGCAGTCCTATGGAATTTTGCCTTTTGCTATTTGTAAAAGAGAACTATTGTATTTTGTCCTTATTGTATGGAAAAAGGTGTCTCACAGCCTGTAAAGATAGCGAAGCCTTTGCTCAGTCGAGTATTTGTGTTGCATCTAAAATTTAGACGCATAAAAAATAAAAGTTTTCATGTGTTAAATGAATTTTTAAAAAAACCCCAAACAGTGAAAAGTTTAGTAAAATTTGTGGAAAATGTCTATTAAGTTTTAGTCAAAAGAGCTGCATTGTGAAATTTTTTCCCTGCAGTCTCTCGTCCCTTTTATGGGGAAAGGAGGAGGAGACAGACTTCATATATTGATTTTTATTTATTAGAACGACTTTATGTTAGCTCCGTTTCTCCTCCTGTCCCGTCTGTGTTTTGTCCCCTATGTAAGGAGGTAGCTTTTCTGGTGGAGGCTGCCATCGAGCATGTTGTACAGTGGTGGAAGCTGCCACTAACTAAAGCTTTCAGTGACTACCATTAACTCTTTTAATGATCTAGAAAGAATTGCTGGCGTTGAGCTTTCGCATTTCTTCACCAAATTAGAAGAACTTTGACTACATATATTTTTCCTTCCATTTTTATAATTCAATGAAACTCATAAAATACTCAACCTTGGCACCAGTGGCATCAGATGCAGTGTTAAAAATTTACCATGCTGTTGACATTTCTCTTTGGTAGTAAACTGAGAGCAGTACCTTATTTTCCTCAGGCAATCAGATCATTTCTCTGCATGTGTTTATTCTCCTCTTCATTTAAAAGTTATTTTCCATAAGGGAACTTGGTCTAAGATAAATCTACAAAGAAAGTTTTACAAACCTGCTGTAAAATGTGTCGTAGCAGTAGTTGCAAATCTACATCAGCAGTGGAAATGCTGTATTTTCTGTGGAATTAAAAATAGATTAAAGTTGGTGAGAAGAAAAGAGTTTGTTTCTGATTACTTTCCTGAAAGCTGACACTGGAGTTCAGTTCATCTTTTAAGATATTAACAGACTTCACTTCCTGGATATGTGTTAATTTTCAACTTTCAAAAACGTTCTTAAAAGTTACTGAGCACATACTGATCTCTTCTTGAAATCAAGGGGAAGTTGTGAAGGAAACCTATGCGCTTTTACTGTCATTTAATAGAGTGTCATTATTTTCTTCTAGAATCAGAAAGCGATATCCAAGAGATTAACCTGAAAACTTCAGAACTTACCAAATGTGAATGGTGTAGCGTCCGAAAATTACCAGTAGTTTTCCTACAAACAGTACCATCGACCTGTAGCAGCCTGAGAGAGCAGCTGAAAATGAGTAAAGATAACGTCTGGTACGAATGTAGAGGAGACAGTAAGTAAACCAATTTCAGTGTACTGATCCACTTTAAACTGTGTCTAGGGTTTTGGGTCTAGACTGAGGGCACTGAAGAATAAAGCTGGCATCGCTGGTTGGGGCAGGTGGGGTGTTTTTCTGAAAAACCAGCTCGGCAAAGCAGTACTCTGCTCTTTGTCTGGACACATGCTAGTTACAACATGCAGTCAGTTTAGTATAACTGCTTTCAGTGGTGTTTGTACTGAATGAAAGCAAATTGATTTGTTTACTTTTTGTATGTGGGCCTTCACATTTCTGTGACAGCCTTTGCTATGCTGCTTTCTGTGCTGTTTTGCTTACAGGCCATAGCTGCAGCAGAAGCTGTTGTGTGGATGGGCTTGGGGATTTTCCCATATGCTTGTAGTGATGTTGTAATGTAGACAAATATCTGCTTAGAAAACAAGTGGATTGTCTTCATGTATATTAAAATTAAACTTAATTTTAACATCGTTTTCCTCAAGGGTCTAGCATCTTCATATGCACCCTATTTTTTAAACTAGCAGAGAGTCCTTTTCCCCTGAAACTGGCTTTTCATTAGGTTAAGTTTTGTGGTTATTTGTATTTGTACTCCCTTTCATAGATACATGATGCATTCAAATGGAGGAAGCATGCTTTCAAAGATCTCAAAATTGTGTGCTTCCAACACATAATGGTGTTATAGTAACCTCATCCACTTCTATAAAAAGTATGAGCTGTAGGGAGTATTGCAATTACAAAAGTAATTGGAGAGCATGCGGGGGAGGTAGAGGCAATCCTGGGAGCAGGCATTAGACCACAGGCGAACGCAAATGTTCACAGATGAAAAAAGGAAAAGCTTCCTGAGCGGTCCGGGTAAGAAATCCTTCCCTTAGCTTGTGTCTCAGCCTTTCCCCCCCCAGCTTTTCTCTCTGAGGCTGTGGCTCTGAGCTAGTTTTCCAGCCAGCTGTTTTATTGTACTGCATGCCTGGGAGTACTTTGTGATAACACAGTTGCTCTTGGCTTTGTGAGCAATGAAATTCCTTTAAGCCTGAATCCATAGCCATGAAGCAGCTGTGTGTAGATGCCCAGTTCCCAAAATGGGAACACCCAAAACCCCGTTACACACCTAAATTCTGTGTGCAGTGAATTGGGAAATACACTGCTGAGAGATTATTTTTCACAGCAGTTAACATGCCAGGTTCAAAATAACCAAAACTCTTTTCTTGCAGAAAAACAGGTCCCTGCAGCTCTGACTTAGCCAGCTACGTGAGGCTGGGATTTGCAGCCTGAATCCTGTTCCTCTGTCTGACTGCTTAAATAACTCCTCTTAGTGCAACTTGCTGCATTTCTGTTTTTCACATGATGTGAGCGGGTGGTATTTGTACAATAGCTGATTGAACCGACTCACATTCTCCAACTTCTGGTAAACATGTCGGCTGACCTGTTGAAGTTAAGCCACTGTACCAAAAGAAATGCAGGATTCCCTAGGGCTAGCCTGTAGCCTGGAAGAACGCCTGACGGTATTCTCTGTGCACAATGCTGACCGGGGCAGAGAGGTTTGGGTTTGTTGATGTTACAGGGCCTGAGAGCAGGCAGGGCTTTGCTGTTCTGTGTGGTGAGATCCCTTTACCTCTGTGAGATGAAGATTCTGGTTGCCGTGACATTTGAAATTCCTATCCTCGTTCAGATGCATACTTTAGAAATGAAAACTGGTTGCCAGTGGATTGGAGTTCCTTAAGAGATTTCTGTTTCTATGGTAACAGAAATCTGATCAGAGAAAAATAACTGTGTCTTTCTTTTGTGAAATTGCCATCACAGGTTTTTGTACTTACCTACCCAACAGTACGTGCCTAGAATCAGGAAGAGTAGTTCTCTCAGAACTTCGTGGTTCTAATATGGGGTGTACAGTTTGTATCCACTTTTTAAAAAATCCTCATGTTTATTTTCCCATTTAAGTCTGGAAACAGTCATCTCAAAGATGGGCTTTTTCCCCCCTCGGTATTCTATTCAGTTTAGTTTCTAAACGGTGGTTTAAGTTTTGCATCCTACTTGCTAGCTACCCTAAGCTGAAGTAGGGTATTTTCCAGCCTGTCACTGTTCCCTGATAACCTCTGTTGTCTGCAGGAGCTGACACGTAGATGTCAGTGCTGTGTATCCATGAAAAGTGATTCTTACAGACTGTTCTAGCTAAAAGGCTGAGGACCGCTGAGTTTATATGCTGGGATGACCTTAATATGTAAAGTTTTCAAAAAGCAGTAGTGTTTTATAGTGTAGTCTTCTAGGATCAGGACAGACCATGAACCTACCTGAATCACAGGGTCTCATATACTGTTTTTTGTTGAATTTAGTGTATGTTGTCTTTGTTCTCACTTTCTTTGCCCTTACCCTTTTGCAATCGCTTCTGTTTGAAAGCAGAAAACCAGATTGAAATATTTTAAAGTAAAATACCATGTAGATGTTGAAGGGGTTGAACAGATGAAAGCCATTTTTATAATAAACGTTGAGACCACAAAAGCCCATTTACATTCTTCATACAATTCTCTTTTTCTAATAAATTTCCACAGATGAGTGTAACTTGATTGATTTTTTTTTTTTTTTTTTTTTTGAGAGAGCTGCTCCAGACTTCTTAGTGTTGACCTGGGAGAAATTAGGGCATGGTGTTTCCCTGTAGAGAGACAAAATTATGCTGAATACGTAATTTCTGGAATTTTGTTGAAGCAATAGGATAGGAACTGTAACAACAATAGAAAGTATTGATTACAGAGTCTTACAGTCAGTAAGCAGAGAAGCTGTTATTTCAAAGTGTTTTGGCTTTGCATTCAGTGTCTTTTGAAAATTTTATCAGCTGTAATAATTAACATTTCCAGATGAAGGCAGAAGTTGAATGTGCTCTTTTTCCAAATATAGGTAGAAGGGTTTGGTAGTTAATCCTTCTGGCTGTCTGCATACATTACTGCTTGTATGTATTGCCAGCAGTGCCTATGTGTGTTGGCCCACGAGTCTTTGAAATCTGGTTATAATTGCAACGTAGTTTATATTTTCAAAATTGCTCATTTTCTGTCTGCTTTTTTGTAGGTCAAGAAGAACAGTACATCATTCTGATTTTTGAAACTGGCCTTGATCCTCATGCAAACTCAATATTTGAAAAAATAATTACTGACATTGGTATTAGAAATAATATTTCTGACTTCTTTGTGAAAATTTCATTTGAAGAAGCCAATGGCAGGCTTGTTGCGTTTACTAAGTGCTTGGAAGACAATTCCAAAGGAAGCCCATCTCACAGAGAAAAAATTAAAAATGTAATTATGTTTTTCTTTTATAACAAAGTCCTTTTATTGTTTGGGTTACAAATACACTAACGACAGTGTGCTAGTCACTAGGTGAAAAAAAGTCCCAGCTGCTGGCTTTTATATGGCGATTCCCAGGCTGGTCCATGCTGGGTTATGAAACTGCGGGAAATGGTCTGTGCATTCACAGGACTTTTTAGTGTGTTTCGCTTGATCGTAGGGTTGTACAGTGGTTCACAAGTAATGTTGTCATTTAAAAATTATTGAGGGATGAGAAATTTGTACTAAAATTAGACATCTGTTTCCAAATTAATCTACTGGTAAGATTATAATATTTCAAACAAGAAATTAAGTTGTGGTCTTGTAGTTACAGCTAATGCTTTCTCTAAACAAAACTACCTCTTAAAGGGTTTGAAAGCTTTGTGGCTCTTCAAGAAGTGCATACAGACCTAAGTGTAGTGAATGAACTAGGAAAGGAAAAGAAACCCAAACTTGAAGTCCTTCTCAAAAACAATGGATATTACACTGCAGAACTTCACAAAGCTTTGTTACCTTTTTGGTGAATTTGAACACAGTATGCAAATTAATATTGACTTTATTATTTTAAGGTTGCTTCTGAGACCAAAATGCAGCCGCGAAATAAACAGTTACCATATTTTGATGATGATGAAGAAATCGGAGAACCACATACAGTATTTATAGGTCCTATAGAAAAGTAAGATATTGATCTTTTGCCTGTAACAATTCTCTTGAGTTTTTTGGCATTTCGTGTTTGTTATTGAATATATTTATCTTTTCAGATTGATAGTTTACCCACCTCCTCCAGCTAAAGGTGGTATTTCTGTGACCAATGAAGACCTCCATTGTCTAAATGAAGGAGAATTTTTAAACGATGTTATTATTGATTTTTATTTAAAGTAAGTTTTATATCAAATCATTTTTTAATCATATTTTACATTGAAACTTGAAAAGTTCTGACATGAAAGATTCACGGGTCAGTTGATAACCTTGGTCTCCAACTATGCGTAGCTCTAATTTTGAAGGTGGTTCTGTATCTTTGAAAGAAATTTTCATTCCTCTCCTGTTTAACAGTGTCATTGTTCTCACTGGGAAAAAAAGTTTCTTTAAAATTTCTTAGAATCTTTAACTGCAAGGGGGGGAAAAAAGCCTTTTTAAGTTCAATTTTTTTTTTCCAGAATAATTGTGTTTCCTGGAATTTAATTTGGTTTGATTAACATAATACATAAATTAATTTTTTTCTATCACAGATGTTAAAGTGTATTAAATTGTTAGCTGCTGCTTTGTTTATGCTACCCATAAGGTGTGTGTGTATAATTTTCAGTCCATTAAATATTTTAGAGGTGAAAAGAAAAGAAGTGCATCATTCTGGGGAGTGTTCAGAGATTTAGTGGCTCAGTTATAAAATTTATGTCTTTCCTAAATAGGTCATTATGTAACAAACTAATGGAAAATTTGTTTTCCTGCCATGATATAAAAATAAATACGAGAGCAGCAGAGCAACTTCTTGATTGAGCAGAGCACTTGGAATATTGACACACAGATTTTGCATTAATTAATTCCTGTGGTTAGTTAGCTCTAATAGTCTTACAGCTATTTTGTGAGAGGCTGCAACAGTTTGGTGGGGAGACAGCACTGTTTGCAGTCCTTTTACTCTGGTGATGAATACTTTGACGTAACACTTCCATGATTTTTTTTTTTTAACTAATCAGGTATTTGGTACTTGAAAAACTGAAAAAAGAAGATGCTGATAGAATACATGTGTTCAGTTCATTCTTCTATAAACGCCTTAATCAAAGAGAAAGAAGAAATATTTATGAAACTTCAAACCTTTCGTAAGTGTTGATAAGTCAGTTTAACTAAGAACTAAGTACAGCGAAGACTGCAAGAAGAGATGCTTTACAGAGATAAAGTCCTTACAGAAAATATCATGCTACCAGCTGTACTCTAGGAAGTATCCAGACCTTTAACAAGTATAGAATACACCTTGTAAATCTTGAGAAGCTGTTAAGGTGAAAATATCTGGAGAAGTAGTCTTTCCGTTAAAATGAACCACTCTAAAAATCATGTGTTGGTTTCCTCTTGCAGAATACAACAAAAAAGACATGGACGAGTGAAAACGTGGACAAGGCATGTTGACATTTTTGAAAAAGATTTCATTTTTGTTCCCCTTAATGAAGCGTAAGTAAACACACCTTTTTCTCACATTTGGTAAAGGCTTAAGCTTCATAATTATAAAATTGAAAGTTAAATTACAGTGTGAATTGAAGTTAAAAGTTAAGAGACTAAACCATTTTTTCCAGGTGATAAAAACAAAACAGTAAGGTGAGGCCTTTAAATGCATTGTTGTAGTATAAGAAGTGTCAGACAATATAAAGACTGAGCAGAAATTAACTTTTCTGAGTACTTTTTCTAGGTTTTACCTGGTTCTCTGGAGTTCTTTCTTCTAAGCCGTTGTCATTAATAACTTTTGGATTTACCTTTTTTAGTCTTTTTCTTCTAGTGAGATCTGTTTGGTATAGATGAAATCATACTTTAGTTACAATAAACCTATATTGGAAGAAAATGCAACTGAAAATCTCTACTGCCAGCACCTGTTTTCAACTAACGGCATCATATTAATGAATTTGTTGGTGACTACTTGCATGAAGTGATCTTACCTTTGGAGAAGACTCTGAAGGCTTGAGTAAAACCTGCTCAGAAAAGTGAACGGCTGTTACAATCTATCTTTGATAACTAGAGGGGGCAGGCTTTGGTTTTTCATTGTGTGTATATTGTGCACGCAGTCAATATTTTGTTTTTTACCAACTTCAGGTTTAACTGTGAGCATTAATGTAATTGCTAGATTTAAATGTGTTTTTTCCTTTTCAGTGCCCACTGGTTTTTGGCTGTCATCTGTTTTCCTGGTTTAGAAAAACCCAAACATGAACCAAATCCCCACTATCATGAAAACGCCGCAACACAGATAAAATCCTCCTCTTCAGATGGAGAGAGTAACACACCATCTCCTTTGCCAAATGAACTAGATGCACAGAACTCGCCTTCCAAGTCCACAGCAAAGAAGATGTTGACCAAAAAGTATAATACAGCTTTAAATGACTCAAACACTGAAACAGAGGACAGTGAGTCTTTATGTTGTAGAAGAAGTCCTTGCAGGGGAAAAAGTGCTTTCAAAAAACTACATCAAATAGACACTGATGTGGAAGAGCCTAACACTGTGGAATCGGCGTGCCATAAACTAGACCATAGGACTCTGGACGAAAACGGCATACAGGGTGAATTCACAACTGCTAGCCAGTCTATGGGTATGTAATTGTAAAAATATGCCAATTTTAATTAACAATTTGGAGGATTCACATCTGTTACTACTTGTGCAACTGTGCAAACTTCATACTTTGAAAGTTTAGTATGAGTCTGAAGTTCGAGTGCTTGCAATGTAAGTAATTTCTAGCCATGGCGTATAAAATGGTTCTGTGGCTGTTGACATAACTCTTAGGACAAAGGGCTAGAAGTAAAACCCTGTTTTCCTAAATCAGTTGGATTTTTCAGCTGTGTGGCCTTTTTCACGTGAAATAATTTTGTAGGTATCACTTTGCATCACTTAAGACTGTAGTTGTTAAGGAAAGAATAGTAATTAACCACGGATCTTCATAATGCATGTGCATGGGAGAACTGAAATGAGAGTGTGTGAGCAACCTTCATTCCAGTGTCCTCTAGCATTGGAGATTGTGCTTCAGCACTGTTGAATTCTTTTAATAGCCTGATAGGAGCTATGTAAAAACAGTAGGCAGAAAATAATTTTTAAAATTCTTTCACGTGACCTTGGTGTTAGATTTAGAGAGGCTTTCTTCCTGCTGTGGAAGCTGGTTTCAGTGATCTGGAACAGGGTTTGTACCAAAGTGAGCAAAGGAGCTGGCGTACTTTTAAAGGCAGATGAAGGAATTAGGAGAAGATTGTTTTCTCTGCTCACTGCAAGGTTTGGATCCCCTTGAGGTGTAGAGTACAAAACAGCTGGTCGTGCAAAAACTTTGGCTTTAGTCACTGCTAGTATTCCCACGGACTTAATTCACACAGTGAGGAACTGCAGAGCTTATATGACACGATCTGAAAAGGTTATCAATCATATGGTCTAATCCGTATCCTGCAGGCTATTGCAACTTTAATATCTTTGTGGTATAAACACTCCTGCTCTCTATTTGAAATGTATTAATTTGTGTTAACCATTGTCACTTCTCCTAGAAGGGCTTGGTGGAGCAGCTGGGGGTGTGTGTAGAGCTGCTCTGGTTTGAGCTGATTTTTCATTTTATGTGTGATTGTTACTGTTTATGATATTGCTGCAGTATGATATGGTCTGGTCTCTTGGATGCTGCCGTGTTACTTGTCTGTAATTAGTTGGAATGTCCTGTATGACATATTTTTGCTAGAATTGCGTTTTTTTAATGGGTGCATTGTGTTGGTGGCTGATGGTCGTTCTGTTACTAGAACACTCAGGCTCTTGCTCAGCCATTGCAGATGGATGCACCCTTTCCTTAACGCAGATGTTCTTATGGTCACAGTCCTGGTTTAAGGGTGAGATTCCATTTTAAATTGACACTGGGCATATGTTTAGGCAGCTAAATTTAGACACCCTGTGTATCTAAACTCCTTTTTAACCAGAGGGAAGATAGGGATGTAGGCCTTGGGTTTTCTGCCCAGCCCTCAGCTGTTGCTGCAGAACGGTGTGGGTCTTGACTTTGCCAAATCCGTACATGTCCTGGATATCCTGGGGTATCTCAAAAGATAGCAGCTGCTGCTTTGATGGTATAATGAGTGAAACCAAGAAACCACCTCGTCCTGACCTAAAGCAGACACAGAGGAGCTGTTCAGTTGAGGATCTCTGCTCAGTGAGACCCTGGGCGCGTACATGGGAGCTTAAACTCAGATGTCTTGATCTCCAGCTAGGTCATGGTGTTGGGCTTGTAAATCAGTAGGAGCAGATACCTAAATCACTGTGAAGAAATAATCCAAAATACATGGATTGTTTAAGTACTTAACTAATCCTCTTTTTATTGCTCAATTCTTGTATGAGATGTGATTCTTCTTGATAACAATTTTTATTTTTTAGGAAACTGTCAGACATAAATCACATTAGTATATGGCCTACTTCTTGTGCTGAGGTCTTTTCAAAGATACTGAGTAAGACTAATTCCCACATTTGTCCCTGTGGAACTCCACTAGTAACCCTTTCCCAAAGTGTCACTTCAGCTTCTCTGTTGAAGTATTCTCAAATGCAGGTCTCTGTTTTTTTTCCATTAGCTAGTTCATTGCCCTAGTTACTGTTCTTATAGAAATCCTGTTTTTTTTTTTTTTTTAATAAGTAATACATCCTCCAGTGACACCATAACCAACGCTTCTATTTTTGTGATTGTTTAGATGTATTATATAGCCCTTTTCTAGGAAAAGTTTTCTTATTTCAGGTCACTATATCGTTTATATAAGGTCTTTTTTTTTTTTTTTAGAAGATTTCAGGTTTTGCTGGCATGAGTTACTAATTTTTCACTTATTTCCACATAGTTTTATTTTTTTTCCCTTAAAAATCTGTTCTGAAGTCTTGCATGGTTGTTTAGTAAGACTTAGTGAGCCTGTAGCTGTCTGTTCCTGCTTCTTTCACAGGTATAGCTATAACATTCATAAGTCTAGGTCTCTAGAATTTTTTTAGGTATTTCACAGAATAAGGAACAGTTTCTGCTGTGTTACTTGGAAGAAACTTTCCACTTTTGTTCATATGCATGAATAAAATATTACATGTCAGCTGTATTACAGTTACTGTGAGCGATCCTGAGGAAATCTGAGGTATTTAAAAGTACTTTGGTCTTCAGTGATAACCTAGTACTTGATGTTTAAATATACTACTGTCTGTGATTGATACAGATGGATTGCACAAAATCAGGCTAAACTATAGTGAAGACTCAGCTGATGGCAGTAAACTAAATGAAGATGAGCTTATAGATTTTTCTGAAGACCAAGATAACCAGGTAAAGAATTTAGCAATTTTATTTGGGAAATGCAAACTGTTGTATCTTGAATGGGCAGCTGGAAAGCTGTGTGCACACTGTAGATGTGTGTTGTCTGAAGCTAGGATCTGGTGTGTTAGTGAAGTGTACATAATTCTCACAAAAATTGCACAAATCACACTGGTGTGAGGGTTCCCATTTTTTGAAAGCATCTCTTAACATCTGTGGTAGTAATAGCGAACTCAGTAGGAAGGTAAGGAACTATGGATCAAGGGGATACTTTTAGATACAGTAGCTTAGTGCTTCTGTTCCTAAAACTTCTGTATCCTTCAGGGCGATCAATATCAAAATCAGGTCAAAGGATATTCCCGGGTTCATGTCATGACTCTTTTTGCAACCCGTTATATATAATATCGTGGCGGTGTAATTTCCCTTGCCCCAAGAACCAAGTTGGTGCATTCTGAAGCAAAGATCAAATTTTACTGCTGAGTTCATTGCAGCTTTTGTCTCATTTCATCTAGAAGAAGATAACATACGTGAAACTGCCAGGCAAGTTTCTAGTAATCATTAGCAAGGGAAGGTATTCGTAGTTTGGGTTATAACCAGATAATGGGGATGCAGCCCTTCTAAGCCAGCAGTGCTTTGAAAATACCAGTTGCAGCTTTTTTCTAGTTTCAGTGGTCGTTAAGTAAATAGGACCATTCACTCCCTGTCGTTCCAGTGCGGATTTGAGAATTCATAGGACTAAAAATTGGTAATGTAGACTTTACAAACGATGAATAGTTTCAGATTAAAGCTACCACCTATTTATTAAACTTGTTATTGGTCTTGAATAAAAATGGTAAGTATACCAATAATTTCTTTTGCATCTGTTTGAAAAACAATATTAGCTTTTAAACACCTCTAAACATGTTGGTTTTGTAGGAAGACAGTAGTGATGATGGTGGCCTTGTAGATGATAACTGTAGTTCAGAAATGGGACAGTGGCACCTGAAGCCTACTATCTGCAAACAGTAAGTATTAAAACAGTTAAAACAGAGATTTCATGAAAGTTTATGAAATTTAAAAGACAATAATTATGGGAAATAGTAATACAATCACTTCTAGTCTTCAATCACTTTAATCAGCATGTTAATAGTGTTTGAGAGAGGATGTTATACTTTGTAGTATCTTCAGTGAGCAGAAAATTTAGTGAATGAAACTGCTAGTGGAAAGAAGAGCTTTCTGGGTTTCTGTGAAGCTTGTGTGCTGCTTCAGGCAAGGGAAGATTGTTTCTTCAAATAAGGCAGTTCTTTGATATCTTGCACTTAGATTCCTACAAAAAGAAGGCGAAGAAGCATGTTCAAATGTATCCTTCTATATTAAAAAGCAGATTAATGTCTTTAAATGGAAATAATTAACTTAATATTAAAGAAGACCTTTGTCACAACTCCAGTTAGTACAGGAAAATGGGAATAATTTTTAACTTCCCCCATTTCTTACCTAAATGTGTTCTAGCGGTTTCTCTTTATTTTCTCTCTCTGTTCTTAGTATCCCCCCCTCTCTGTTCTTAGTATTATTCTTTTTTCTCTTAATAAGAGTGTTCCACAGTACTAAATTGAGTTATGGGGTTTTTTTGTTTACTTTTTTACCTGTTTTGGATTTGAAAACTCTTTAAAATATATTTTTTGACATTTGAAATACAGAAATTATTTCTTACTAATCATTGACTGCAATTACTTGCATGTTGGTGTGACAGAAGTGCATGATTCCAAATCCAAAAATGCTGTTACTCGTATTGCCTTGACAATTTCCTTTGTATTTTTTCACAATTTATTTATCCATTTTTATATTTTCTTCTTTGTGAATATAACAGTTACTAGAAAGGTCAAGGCTTTCACAGTACATTCTTATGGTACAGAAGAAATTATATGTTTATACATGTTATGGAATGTGTACGAGTTATTCTTCATACATTTTTGTGAAGGGGTAAAAATCCATCTGTGAGTTTTAAGAATATTTATGAGCTGCTGATGAGAGCCTGGCTAAATTTGTCCCATTCTGCTGATGGATTATCTGTACATAATACCGTCCACCAGACAATATTTTCATCCAAATATGAAATTTCATAAGATCTTTGACACTGAAGTATCAAAAGTCATTAAAAGCACTTAAATGCTTTACTGTTAGTGTGTTTTAAAATTACTTATATATGAAAGAGAAAATGACCTTGAAAAGGCTTTCACTTCTCCCCCCCCCGCAATGTACTGGATTGTGCATTTTTAACGAGCATTGGCTATAGAAATAGTAACTTCTGTTTATCAGAAATTAAAACCAGTACAAATAAAAGCAAACATTATTCAAATGATTATATGCTTATGCCTAAACAATTGCAGACATGTAAATTAATTTATCAATGCACACAAACCCATCCATACATGCAGATGGTTTGAATTTATTAGTGTGCACTTTCTGTAAAAGACACTGCGTCTGAGCACACGTATGGTTAGAAAAGAGAAAGCAGAGCTTTGCAAAGAGTAATCTGCATCCTGTTCATTCCTCCAAATGCATCTTGCATCTCGTGCTGAGATTCCGAACTCTGGTCTGAGTCAGCTTTGAGGTACAGATCAGCAGTTGTATGTGAGGCAGCTGATAACTATTGTTTGTTTAGAGCTGCTGCCAGGTAGTGTCCTCCAGGTCAAGCGATCGGAGGTAAGAATCTGGAGCATTCAAGAGGGTGTTCAGGCAGACTTGGGTCTCCAGAAGATGTTTGTTTATGGAGACGTTCTTTTTCTCAAGTCTCTTAAACAGAGCACGTGTGTGTTGTGTGGGTAACTGTTGGGTAGATTTCAGATTCCTTAGCTGGAATCACTTCTTGAACGTACCTGGTGTTGTCTGTCCTGTCTGTCCTCCAGCTGCTGCTCCGGGAGGATGTTTGTGGTTCTGTGCCTTTCTAGTCCCAGATGCCTCCTGTATCTGAAGGAGCAGCAGACACCTGACAGGGGGTTAAGCAGCTAGTTTTTGCCTGTAACAAACTCTTTCGATCTGACAGCGCTGTGTTTTCTAGGTGCATGCCTAAGTGTGCTTAGTTTCTGGTTAAATCTAAAGAGAACTTTGCATTCAGCTCTCCTGGCTACGGGATTATAGCAGCCTTGGCAAAGCTCTCTAGCATCGATCTAGCTTTGTTCAAGGCCAACCCGCAGACTGTTCTATAGCTAGCTGTGTAAGGCTCCAGACAGCTGGGAAATGCTGTGTGCTTACCAATGGTGCTCTCTCCTAGGCCCTGCATTTTGCTCATGGACTCGCTGAGAGGCCCCTCCCGCTCAAACGTGGTGAAAACACTAAGGGAGTAAGTGTCGTATCTGGGTTTGGGGGGTTTTACCAAACTTCTTCAAGGAAAAAGAAGTTTTAACTTGCATGGTCTTCTGTCATAGATACTTAGAGGTGGAATGGGAAGTCAGGAAAGGCAACAAAAGAAGCTTTTCCAAAGATGTCATGAAAGGTTCCAACCCCAAAGTGCCACAACAGAACAACTTCAGTGATTGTGGAGTGTACGTATTGCAGTATGTAGAGAGCTTTTTTGAGGTATGTATACCTGTTTGTGTCGTTTCATTTTTTTGGTCTCCTGCAGCAATCAAATATGAGCTGTGAGAATTATTACAATTATTAAGGGCTCCTAATGTAGCTTTTATACCTGCTTGTTATTAGGCATTGTAAACTAATTTATACATTAACATACATAATAATGAATAATTTTTGGAATATGTTTAATTATTCTTTGTAGTTGTGTGTGTATATATATATATATATATAAGAAATTGTAAGTCATGGAGTTTTATGAGAAAAGATTCTGAGAAAATTTGTTAAGAAAATACATTCAGAGTCTTCCTTGTGTGTTCTTATAGGGCGTACCCTTTAAAATTATCCAGTAAAATCTCAAGTTCAAAATCTAAAGGTGCAGTACAAAGCACAAGAGCTTAGAACCATCCTCAAGCACTTCCTCTTTGGTACCCGGGGGATATGGGGAACAACCCAGTGTTACTGATCTTGGCTCCTTCCTTCTTGCAAATGGGTTGCAGCAGGCTGAATGCCTTGTCCTGCCTGGTCTCGCAGAGAGCAGCAGCTTTGCCTGCCTGGGACGGGGCTGCACACCGCTGTGTGAGACAGCAAACCACAGGGTGTGCTCAGAAACAGCGCTGGTGGGAACGGGAGCCCCGCGCCGGCTGCGCTGCACTTTACTGTCTGACCATCAGTGAACTGGTAATTGCTGCAGCTGCTGATGTGGCTGAAAAATTGCAGTCTCACTGTTTTCAGCAGCTGCACAAACCGAATAGGCACTGTGTGGAAAGGGGTGTTTAACGTTATGTTTATGGACCATTTAGTCCCATTTTTTTCTTTTTTGTTTGTTTATTTCAAATATCTCACTATTAAAAGGAGTTAAAGTCACGCCGTGTACTGTTTGAAGCCACAGCTGGTTTCACAGGGGAGGTGGTGTACAAAGGAGCGTATCCCAGTAGCCCCCCCCACACCCTCCCCCCCCACCCCCTGCCTGTTCAGCCTCGCCCTCCGGCCCACGGGGGCCAGCTCGGGCCAGCTCTGCCCTGCAGATGCTTGCCCCCCGCTTCCCCTGGGCGCTTTGGG